ATATATATATATATATATATTTCATTTTTGTACTGACCGTAAAAAAATCAAGGTTGCAATTTAAAAATTTATAACATTCGTAATAAATAATTTATAATATTCGTAGTCGGTAGCCTAAAAACATATTGATTAGCAGATTTTCAGAATTTCTTGGCAAATTTATCTACCGATATCTCTTTATGGTCTTTATTTGACTGAATTCAATTGGACTAATAAGAGGATCCCCCGTACGAAACAAATACATATATTAATATAATTTAAAGATCATCTTGTTTAATGTGATATAATTTGAAATAAATTAGATAAAAGACGGCATGAAAAAAGGATATTTCTTTTTCATTCATTCGAGGAGACAAAGTTAAAATTTATATAGGATATTGGATAAAATCATCTGAACTGAATTAAGGTTGCATCGAATAGAAGCAACGGATGATGTTCCTATGAGATGAAACTATTTCTAGTAATGTTGTTCTAATTTTTTTTTTATAATGTTTGGAGTAATAATTTTCATGTAATGAAGCAATGCCGAAGGAGTATTTCAGTTACACGAACTCAAATAAAAATTTAATTAATGGGAAAGATCTCATTCGATGAGTGGTTAGGAATTCAGCAGATTTATTGTTTTATCAGATCGGTAACTGAAAAAAAATTTTTTTCTTCGTAGCATACAACGGTTATGACATTCAAGCAAACCCACGCCCGCAATGGACTAGATTATGAATCAACTCACCAAAAAATAACAACGGTTCTAGCATTTGTCCTTATGTTAATAATTCTAAATCAAAATGAAATTCTAAATCACTTTTAGATTTTTTTCTTCAATCTACCGCAAATGCATCAGGTCTGTGAAATATTTTGTCTGTGAAGTCTAACCATTCCGTACAAATCGGTCGAAACAGCACATATCGTCAAATATGCCCTTACATACACAGCGGTAATAAACCAAAGATAACCGTCAACAGCTGTAGGTCACCTAGCAACGAAACATTAATTGTAAGGAATCATATGACATCAGTCCCTCCGAAAAAAAAATACTTGGGGTCTCAATTCATTTAAAAAATATACGATTTCAAATGTGCAATTTAAGCAACATGAAATATTACCTCTACGAGAAAATTTTAGTATTTTAATGTACCATATCGCTTAGTTTGGGTTTTTATATGTATTTTATTTAAGCCACAGAATGTGATTCTTCAGCTAGTGTTCACCTAATCCTCAAAGGTTAGTATCCGATCACGGGTGGATCTACGGGGGGGGGGGCTTTCGGCCTGAAGCCCCCCTCCAAAATGGAAAAATATAACCATGTTTTATGGAAAAAAATATTAAAAAATACCTAAAGTATTATTGTTCGTGTAATTACATTTAAAAGTACTTAAGGAATAACTTAAACACCATTTCATATAGGTAGTTAGTTTCTTTCTGTTTTTCCAAAGTAATTATCGTTATTTTTATGAAAAAAAAGGTTTCGGGCTGAAGCCCACCAAAATTAAATCCTAGATCCGCTAGTGTATCCTATTGATAATTAGATCAATATCTATCGGGTAAAGACGAAGTACAACTCTTCTTTCTTTTCTTTCCAAAAAGTAATAGGTGTAATACCTTCGACAAATTTCTTGACGCTAAAACATATGCGGAGCACTGAGTGAATATGACCGCCACGTATTATACAAAGAAATCTCAGGATTATAAGAATTTTTCATACTAAATAATTCAAAATCCTCACACCTGAGCCTGAAATGTGCAAATATATTACGTTTCTAGAGTCTTCCCAGACTGATTGTGTATCCAACAATCAGCATACTAAGCTCCGTTCTATAAGGGAGGCTGAAAATTTAGAAACAGTTTTTGGAAATTTATGTAATGAAAACAAATATTTTAAGGCCGAATGTTCGCTTATGTTGTGACAAGATCGAGATTATTAAACAGAACTGCTAAAAATCTATGGTAAAAGACAAAAATGTTCTCATTGTAAGTAATTATGACATCTTAAGCCATAAATCCATAAATTTACTTATTCAATGTATAGGAAATTAAAAATTGTTAAAAACTTTAACTAATTGATATTCAAACCAAATTTCTATTTTAGTTTGACAAGGTTCTTACACCTTCCGCCACTTTAATTTTCACTCATTTTGTCCATGACAACGTTCTTCTAACAGCATTTCGATTAATTCAATATCAGAATATAACATCAGGAATAAAATGTGTTATCATTGCATCAATTTCAAAAGTTAATTTAAAACCATTCAAAGTAGTGAACATAACAAAAAAACAAAGAAAATTGACTTCAGGTATTTTAAACTGTTTGAACATTGTCAAATCTAGCTAGAGTTGCTAGGAGCGGTTTGATCATGAATGAATGAAGATAAGGTTTCGAAAATATGACGAATGCTTGATAAAAGCTTTTAAGGTGAAAACTTCTCTTGATGAATCTATCTAATGGGAATTGAAAGTAAATAATGATAATAGTCCTGTCATAAATATTGTTACAAGAAATATATACAAAATTCAACAGAAAAAATATTTTTTTCAAAAACCTTATTAGAAAATAAAAAATATATCTAAAGAGAGTAAAAATAATAAATTCCCTCTCAAAAAGTCCCCCTTTTGCCTTGACACATGCATTTAATCTCCTTTGCCAGACATCAATAGAAGCATGCAGCACTTCTTGAGGAAAGCTGTTTCAACTGATTCAACTGTTCGGACCAGAGGTTGTTTGGGGCTTTACAAGTTGAGACGTACTCTGAGGCATGCCATCCTCTCCAGTTCCGCCCAAAGCCGATAATCTAGTGGGTTGAGATCAGAGAGGGCTTCCTGAGGGCCAATCCGAGACAGACATGAACTCTGGAATGTTCTTTTCCAGCTACTGCTGAATTGTACTGGCCTTGTGAGCTGGAGTGGTATCCTGCTGTAAAACCCAATGGTTTCAGCAAACCTGTTATCATTCAAAGGCTTGAAAAAAAATCCAAAATATCTTTCTGATTTTAACTCCTTTTTCACAAAAATGGAGCTTTGTGGTGTCATCAAAGCAAACTCCCCACCAAACCACAAACCGGCACTGAGGAAGGGTGATTACCTCTTTCCACTCTTCCAATGACTTCCTGGGCTTCTTTAGACCTGTGTGCGTACACACGATCATTTTGGCGATTAAATTTGTCTTCAATTTTAAAAATTTTCTCATCGTTAAACAAAATCTTTCGATGAAGACCATTGGTGTAAGGGCCACTTTGAATCTATCCACTATATTTTTTTTATGTAAGTGGTTAGCCTTTGTCCTGTCATAAATGCACCTATCCTAAGATCACTTTTAATTATTCGGGACACTGATCTGACAGAGATTCCTATTTCCCGATACATGATTTGTTGTTTTCGAATGGAATTTCTTCTGATTCGAGCAGCCACTGCTCTCACTGCATTTTCCGTTCTCATAGTGCGGGTCGGCCCCATACATCGAGTCGAGGTCTGTCATATACATTTAGGGGTCTCATTATATCTGTATACGAACATACGGCTGATAACCAAAGGTTTCAAAATGTTGAAAATCTCTGACCTACATTTTCCAACTTTGTGTAAGGCGATCACAGCTATTCGAGTTTCTTTATCACCCCACACCCATTCTATAACAGATATAATAAATGTAATATTACAATAGTAGCCTTAATATTCTTATTATGAAATCGAGAATCTGTTGCATGCTAAGACTATCACAACAATCCTGTCTCAATTCTATTCAAATTTTATTAGGTATCTTATTATTCCCCCGCCCACTCCGAATGCCGATGGCGCATGAATTCTCTCCCCTTTTCCCAAAATATTTTATGCTCTCCTCTTTGTGATAACAGTAAAATAACAAGTATAATTTTAGAAATAATAGGCCTTATAAATTACTTTCACTGGTCAGTGTCTTATTCACTGGTTTGAAACATTTTATTTCCAAAATTCATAACTCCCTCAAAAAATCAAACCCCTGTCAAAATGTGCCTCCCTCAAAAATTTTGATGGTACAACTTGCGCCATGAAACCTCCTTTTGGGCACTCATGACCAGGTTAGATCTAGACAAGTGGTAGCCGTAAGATATGAAAATTTCATTTGAGATAAAAAAAAAAGAGATTATAGGAAATACAGAATAACTTTTAAAAATTAAATTTAGGGACCATAAATTTAACATTAAAAACAAATTATTCAATTATTCTTAACCAATGCGTTCATTCCCCAAAATTATAAAGTTGAGATATTTTAGGATATAGGTGCCACTTAGCAGGCTCTTCGTTTGATCCACCCCTGTACCAAGTAAGGAATTTTATTTTAACATGTCATATTTATTAACATAATTAGTTATTAACATAACGTAATTAACATAATTTATTTTGGAGATAATTTTTCTGTATTTTAAGAAGGTAAATATTTTATTATTAAAACAATGAAGAGATTCTATCAGCCACGGAAACCTTGTATACGTGTTTTTAACGATGCTAAAACAAACAGAATGAATTGATAGCTAGTTAGTTTTTATTCTCCTCCCACGCAATAAATAAATATTATTCTTTGAACTAGGGATCATATATCTGCTATTTAAGCCACAGAAAGTGATTTTTCTGCCAGTGTTCACCTGATTCTCAAAGGTGAGTATCCTATTGATAATTATATCAATCTCTATAGGGTAAAGACGAAGTCCAATCCTTCTTTCCTATAACTTTTATAAGAACTTAATAGTATTATTTTAAGCCTTAGTATTTTTTTTAGGTAGAATATTGGGGAATATTATATTAAACCTTACAATTTATTAAAACTTTTGCATTTTTAAAAGTACTTTCAGATAAACATAAATGGTTCAGAGTCCATTCATTTGTACACTAGGTGCTTTCATGTTATAAAGGTTTATTTATTTTATTATTTCTTCATCTAAAAAAATCTTCCGTATCTATTAACATGTTGTGGCACCTCTATGCTGATAAAACCATTAGTTTATATTTTATTTTTACAGGGAAGTCTGAAGAACATGGAGTTGAAGTTTATCCTAATTGGCGCTCTGCTCTGTCATGCGGCTGTGGTAAATTTTATTGTTCAGTTAAAACTTTTATTTATATATGTTCAAAACATGAATGCTGTAATTATTTTCTTTACTGTTTTTTATGTTTAATAGAAAATTTTTATTTTGAAAATTTAGTTAAAATTGTCAAAAACTTCAATTGATTGGTTCCATGAAGTAATCCAATTTTCGTTTTCTAGGGTACACAGTCCGCCGCAAATCCCAAAACCAAAGCAAAAACGAAGAAGCTGTTAACAGCTTTAAGCAAACTTGGAGACAGGATCCTCTCCGGAGCCTTCGGCGGTTACAACCTCTTCGTTCATGAGGTCGGTTTCTCCATGGACCAAGCAAATGGAATCCAGCAATTGACTAATAAGTTCCCCGCTGTGTATGGAATAGACTGTTCTCCAGGTTGGGAGACCACTGAAGAAGGTCATGAAACCGATATCCTAGATTGTTTTAACTCTCAGATTGTAGATTACGCCAAAAAAGGAGGTATCATTACTGCCAGCCACCACTTCCCGAACCCTGTGTTTCCAGGCAACAGAGTACCCGGAAATCAAATAAGTAACAAAAACTTTTCCGAAATTCTCCAGGACGGAACACCGGCGAGAAACAGGTGGTTAAAAATGATGGGAAAGATTGCTGAAGGTTTTCAACGGTACAAGGACGAGGGGATCACCATCTTATACCGTCCCTTCCACGAGATGAACGGAGGCTGGTTCTGGTGGGGAAAAATTGATGATCAAACCCAAAATGATGAAAGATATCGCCTCTTCAAGCTCCTCTGGCAGGATCTCTTCAACTTCATGAAAAATAAAGGACTGGATAACCTGCTTTGGGTCTACTCTCCCGGGGCTTTTAGTGGTTCCTATACCGCCTTCTACCCAGGAGATAACTTCGTCGACATAGTTGGCTTAGACGGATAACGGTGTTACTAAATGTGAAGGTTACGATGAGCTGACTCGCCTAGGAAAGCCTTTCGCATTTGCAGAAGTCGGACCAGCAGGGGATAGTCATGGGAAGCTCGATTTTGGGTGGTTTGTCGAAACAATGATAGCTCACTACCCGAAGGCTGTCTACTTCATGCCTTGGAATGGCATAACTGGTCCCATCCAGAACAAAAATGCCTGGGGAGCTTATAATAATCCTAAAGTGATTAACATGGGAGAACTAAGAGTGTGATGACACGGGTATGACATTTCTCTGTAATATCATATGTTTGTCTGTAATAAAGTTCTTATTCCATTAAATTTGTCAATTTTTAACGAATACCTACGTTGGTCTTGAGGTAATTCCTTTCTTTTCCTATACAAATGATTCTTTCTTTGTTGAAATATAATAGAAATTCTTAATATCAGCTGAAATTCAAGAATTCTTGCTACACCATGGCTTAAGTAAATGAATGAAAACGTGTTTATTAAACTTTAAAAAAAAATACACAAAGTAAAATATATATTTACAAGCAACAACACATAAACAATGACAAATTCCGTCAGTCGAGGTCTGGGTGTAATTAATAATAAATATTCACCACATTTATAACTAAAATAAATGAGCAATAATATATCTACAGTATCATTACATTTTTATACATCCATTCTGGTAATATTCTTCTTCACTGTTTCATTTGTTTAATTAGAGTTTTCAAAAAACAAAGATTAATACTTCACAAATCAAATAAATTAGAAATTTAAATTCAACAACAATAATAATAACCATCAAATAGAATATAACAATAAAACAAACGTTACAATATATAAACATGATATTGTATCAATCTTTAATGTAAATTAAGTATGAATGCTTTCCTTTTTTATATATTAATTATGAATGTTTTTCTTTTTTTTTTATATTTATTTGTTTTACTTACGACTAATTTAATTTGCTACCAATTTCTGTATTTTTTATGATTATTTTTTTTAATTTGATTTCAAGTTACATTTCTTTAGTTTTATAGTTTTTACCTTTGTTATATAGATATATATTTTTATTTTTTATTTATTTTTTATTATTATTATTTTTTTTTTTGCATTGTATATATAGTATGAATGGGCCTCACTCAGCTTTAGTACTCAGTGCTCTTAAATGTGGCAAAATGTATTATTTCTCAATAAAAAGATTTAAAAAAAAAAAGATATTGTATCAATAGTTTACTATCTGACTAATTTAGATCTTTGCAATGTGGCCTACTGTTCATAACTGCTTAATGCTTTCCAGTTAGAAACATTTAAGAAACTAAATAGTTCTTCCGGAGAACAGGTCCGCTGCCCGAAACATTTCTCTCCTAACTCAGTGAACATGTGACAAGTCTCCAAAAAATGAATGATATCCTATTTTTCTTGAGAGTTACATACTTTACAGCAATAGTTGCCTTCCACTATCCATGTTTTTACTCTTAAATCGAGCAATTCTGTCCTATATCGAAAAATTGACCCTATAGTTACAATATCAAAACTATCGTTAAGACAGGGTGTAACAGTGCCCACTGAACATAGTCCTCCGTAAACATAAAAACTTGAATGAAGACATTTTTGAAGGTTATTTTGTTTTTCTAAGTCCTCTACCCTATATCTAACAATTTTCCTCGCAGACCGGCGATATTTGCAGTATCATGATTAATTTTACAACTATACTCGGATTCTAACCACTTTTAGTACCAATGAACTCTCTTACTTATCACCTCTTTCGCTAGGATGTGTGGCAAAGGAAAACCCGGCATCTTCAGCACTTTCAAAATATAGTCTAAAGGAATTTTGAGTGTGTAGGAGTATATCGAGGTGAGACAGGTTTCGTGTGTCAAAATATAATTATGTGCATACCTTGGGAGACGCAGTAATTTTTTTACAAAGTATCTTTTAAACTTTTACAAAACTTCATAGAGCTGGAAACACCAAACCTGCCCAGCTTAACCAATTACCGTCCGAGAGACTAAATATATATTTACAATAAAAATCAAATTGTGAGGTGTAATTAAAATTTATAAAGTCAAACACACGTACTTTTAAAATTGTGATTGCACAAAAACAATATGCATTCGCAGTACACCTTGCAAAATATATCAGAGGACTAGTTGTGCACTAAACATTTTGGACCTTGGCCTATATGTACTATTTTTGTTGCACTCCTCGCTATATGCTTCCTTATGTCATGCTGAACATTAATCATCATAATGTGTTATAATAGTTTATAAAGTATTGCATATCTATAAAATGAATTTGAACCAAAAAGCATTTTACGATACTGGTACAGTAAACAAATTATAATGATTTTACATTAAAAAGTTACTTAAAGATAAATGAACAATAGCTCTGCTATAAATTTGGAAAATACATGAATAAATAAAAAAAACAATTGTCATTATCATAAGAAATATAGACATGAAATAACGAAAATTGGGAACAATCTACGATTGCTATTTAAGACAAAATATTTACAATATGGAGGATGTAAGCGAGAAGGTCTTAATTAACATTGAAATAAAAATTATTAATATGAACCTATAGATAAATTACTTGAATTTTGTTTATGTTGCACTCATCAAGTGATAGAGATAAATTCACGAATGACGAAGACACATGCTTTCTCCATTTTTGATGGATTAGGGCAGGTATTACATCTAAGACATCTTCTATATACTTCTATGTATACAAAACTACCGATTTCTTTGATATTTTGATTACCTATTGATATATTAAGTATTTAGTTCAATTACTGATTATTAAAGGACCATTTAATATTAATAAAATATATTGGGCTGGAAATATAATTGAATTATATTCTCCTTAATGTTTATTCTCTGTCCGATTCAAGTACCCTCCTCAGCAATATTATCCCTTCTTAAACTCTTTTATTTTCAATCTCTTCCCGAATAAAGCAAAGTCAGGCACTAATCATCCATCTGAAGATGAAACAAGCCACCTGAAATGGGCAAGTTTTTCAAAAATGGGTACATATTTTGAAGTTTTTTTCAAATTTGGAATATGAATATAAAAGGTTTAGAAAACAAATCCTTCCGATATCCTCCCGGACATAACCTAATTCAATATCCTGTACGAGCGATTCCATTTCCTTCTTCGTGATCGTATCCAAGATTTGATATTTATTAAAAGCATAACATTCGTCATATCTCCACAGGTTTAAAATAAAAATCTGATATATCTTATTTTTTCTAATAAATAACTTTTACCTCCATATGTGTGTTTTTTTAAAAATATATTTCACTTAATCCTCCTCTATAAACATTGAAGATAACCGTAGCATCTTATTTGACTCCATACTGCTGTATCTCTGGACTTCGCGTTTCTACGCCGTGTAGGACGTTCCAGGAACCGCATTTATTTCTACTAAATATGTTTGATACTTATATTTCTATTTATATCGGTTCTAAAAGGGAAAATGCTTTTTTAGATATGACTGATTGAAGTTACTAATGGTCTATTGATTCTATTATTACTAATGACTGCAAACACAAGTTTACATACGTATAACTAAATGAATGTTACGACTTAGCTGTTTCTTCATGGTGAAGGGTGTTGCCGGTATCTCTAGCTGTGCAGCTGGGCGAATCTTTCAGATTGACTCCAAGCTGCCTCTGTGGACTCTCCAGTCTATGTTGTTCTCTCAGCTGTCTTCTTCAACTCTTCCCTTTCCATCCTTTCTGTTATCCACCTCCCTTTCTGTAGTTTTATTTCATTGGCTGAATTTTCGTAGCATAAGGGATGACCACGCCATCAGGAAGTACGGCTGTTCCTATTCCTCGAAATTATTTTGGTTCCCTTCTTAGTTCAGATAAGCTTTTTGATCTGAGTTTTTGCCGGCGTCTCTATCCTTTGGTGTTTCATTGTCTCTCACAAAAGGTTGCGCTCCCTAGGGGGTCGTTACTCTCCCTCAGGTAACCGGACTTGTGTTAGCAATTATTATTTAGAATATATTTATTTATTTGCAATAATTAAATATATTCTAAATGTGTTTCTTACAATACATAGAGATCAAGACACCATAATTGCAATTTTGGACCTGGAAAAAAATGCACTTAATATTAATGTTTAGTTTCGTTCATTCAACTTTAAACAAATGATACTACAGAATAATATAAATCTAAGGCACGTGAAACATTAAAAAAACATCAATATTTTGAATCAGTCTGACTATTATATTCAAGAATAACTGCAAAAAGAATATGCAGTCAAAGAAAGAACTAATTTACATAAAATGAACAAATATATGAGTAGAATTTGTAATAGTAATTTACTGCTGTAATGTCGAGAATACTAAATCCCAGAGGCAATAGTATTTTTTCGGGACTAAGCTTGTTCAACTCATCTGTACCTCCTTTGATTATATTATAAATTTCGTTGATTTATGTTTTTCCAGTTAGTTTATTTCTATCCCAAAAGACATTAAAGAGATCAAATGACCATATTTATTTCTCTTGAGGGAGGATGAAATTACCTTATCCTATTATTAGTGAATGATGGTAGATTCATGTGAGTATGTCTAAATCGTTAGAAATAAATTATTATTCCACTTGAACTTTGGGGGACAGCAAAATTCTCTAACATCAAACGCATCCAATCATTTCAATCCAAAGTCCTCCGAACAATAGTCGATGCTCCGTTCTATGTAACCAACAAAACCCTACATCATGACCTTAATATAACATTTGTCCTTGACCTTATCCCTGAAAATTTTTCAAAATTCCATCAGAACCTTATCAATCATCCAAATCCCCTAGCCCAATCCCTATCTAGTTCCACTCATCCCTACAACCCTCCTCGAAGGTTGAAGCGGCAGTGGCCCAGAGATCTTTTATAGTATTTATTTTGGAGATCTGGCAATAGCCAGATTCTCCACTCAAGACATGAGTGTATGTGGCTAAAGCGCTCTCGCTCAAACTCCACCGGCTTTAGCACCGGTGAGGTGGTTGAGAGAGTAGCGCAGGGATTTGGGTTCTCTGATTGTATATATTGTATATAGGTATGACTGTATTTTTATGTTTTTAATTTACTTATATTTAGGTTATTTTATTTTTTTATTGTATATAGTTTTTATTTATTATTATTTAGTTATTATTTTACTTTTGTTAATTTTGTTTCTTTTTTCTATATACGGTGTGAATGTGTTCATTTATCAATATAATTATTGTTCCTGTGACAGAATATTATATGTCTAAATAAATAAATTAAAAAAAAAAAATTATTCCAAATCGTTTAAAATGTAATGTACGGTGTGAATTTACTCTCTGATCTCTATTATAATTTTCCTTAATTGAAACAGAATGTAATAATTATGTAATATGATGAAATATGATGTAATATAATATAATATAATATTTAATATTTTTCAATAAACAAACTAAAAAAAAAAAGAAGTCATAACATTGGTTTTAAGTTTTGATTATGAAAATGAATGTATCACTTGGCTCATTCAGTTGATACCAATTATTTCAATTCGGAATAAGCAAAGTTGATATCTTGAGCATGACAACAACTTGAAAATTGGAATATTGAATATTAATAGTTGACCGTTGCATTATAAAGGAAGGAGATGGTCCGAGGTTGCGGTCATAAATAGGCTAAATAGTGGTAAAACTATTTTATTGAAAGCCGACGTTTCGACCCGCCTTTGCAGGTCTTCTTCAGGCTAGAACGGACAAGATACAAAATAATAGAGAATTGTGGCAGTATATTTAGACAGAATTTATAAACAATGTGAATAAGCTTATTAAAATTATAAAACGTAAGTACATTAAAATATGAACGAAGTAAGCTAAGTAACAAGATCCTAAACTGAAGTAAATAGATGCTAACAATTGTTGTAGTGTAAGATATAATAAATGCAAATGTGAATATCCTTCTACTGATCTACAGGAGAGATTAAAAGTAAAAGGATATAATATGAAATAATAGACATAAAGAAATGTGGATAAAGAAAACCAAAAATTAAATAAATAAGTAAGTAAAATGGAAGAATAAAATTAAAGACTTACAGGTGTGTAGCTATAATAAAGCTAGGAGTACTCCTAGCTGAACACACCTGTCTATTATTTCATATTATATCCTTTTTCCTTTTCTTTCAATCTCACCTGTAGATCTGTAGAATTATATTCACATTTGCATTAATTATATATTACACTACAACAATTGTTAGCATATATTTATTTCAGTTTAGGATCTTGTTACTTAGCTTACTTTGTTCATATTTTAATGTGCTTACTGTTTATAATTTTGATAAGCTTATTCACATTGTTTATAAATTCTGTCTAAATATTATGTAACTGCCACAATTTTCTATCCTTTTGTATCTTGTCCGTCCTAGCCCTGAAGAAGACCTGCAAAGTTGGGTCGAAACGTCGGCTTTCAATAAAATAGTTTTACCACTATTTAGCCTACTTATGACCGCAACCCCGGACCATCTCTTTCTTTTGAAAATTTGAAGCTAAAAACGAATATGAATTGCTTCATTTTATCTTATTTTTTAAATTAAATTTTTCATGACGCATTATTATTTTATATAGTATAAGTAATGCGCTTTAAAAGCAATAAAATTGGTTTTGAGAAGTCAGTATGAAAATCAATGTACCACTATACAAGATACATGCAAAAGAAATACAGTTTCTCTAAATTATTGAGATATCAGAACCTTCGATAACATTTTTATTCATTGGCAACGTCTTATATTAAGCTACTATGGAGAAAGATATGTCCAGAAAACGATTTATGTAAGCAAAATAATTTTGCTACAACAAATCAAATTCAATTGAATCTATTCAGATTTTGATAACTGTTCTTATACAATTTCACATATCGCCTCTGCTTTTGTTATTTCTGCGATACCTGCTCACAGTATTTGAAACGATAATAGCTTATTTCTCAAATTTAAATATATATATATATATATATATATATATATATATATATATATATATATATATATATATATATATATATTCATCCACATTATTAGCTATAATAACCGTTGTTGCGTCACGCTTTTAAAAGGTTGACAAAAGATTTTTGTTCTCTCCGGAAAAACATATGTTTTGTGTTTCAGTATATGCGAGGTTTGCCTACATAAATACGCAATGTTATTAAAAAAATATAGCGTTTCAATTCATGGCTTGTTATATTTCATTTACATAATGATTAATCAATAAGTATACACAGGTGTTCTAAAACAATTGTTCCTCAGCTCGGTTGGATATATAAGCAGCTCTGCCTGATTCTGCAGTCAGTTTTCATCTGTTTCCAGAAGGTAAGTATCCTATTGATTTAAAATCCTAAATCTATTATTACAATGTATCGGGATAGCGAGATTCGAGTTTTCAATAATATAATAATTATTAACGAACTTACCCATAGTACCTGAAATCAGAGATTTTAAAAGAAATTTAAATCATTTTAACTCTTAGAATAAAAGAAAGCTTGGCTTTAGCAAAATCGTTTGTTAATTGATTCCAAAATGAATTATAGCTACTTCATCTGATCGCTTCAATTTGTGTTGTTGGAATCCAGATATGGGCAAATGCTACTTTAAGTACCAAGTATTTTACTCATATACTGAACATTTTTGTGTACCAAATAATCTAATTAGTACTTCAGTTGATGTCTAACAATTAACTGAAGTAGTTAATAAATCCCGAATAGTGATTCAATTTGAGTAAAATACTTGGTACTCGGCACTCAGAGTATCAATTGCTCATTTCTAATTCCATCTCAGCATCTTCCAATGTAATCTGGGTTTTCTCAGAAACCATTAGTGAATTCGACCTATTTTCTATGTGGTATTATACCTATATCTTAAATTTATTTTTACAGAACAACTGAAGAATATGGAGTTGAAGTATATGCTATTCGGAGTTCTTCTCTGCCATGCGGTTGTGGTAAGTTATTACACAGGGTATCCTATTAGTAAAGGAAAATGTTTTAGAGGATGGTAGCAGACTTGAAGCGCTACAAACAAGTTTCTATGAACAATGTTCCGATTGTTTGTAGAGAAATAGAAATTGTTTTATATATTTTTTATTTTAATTTTTTTTTTATCGTCACGTTTTTTATGAGTAGGAAGTGACAAGTAAAGAAATATTTAATTCAGGATCTTATATAATTGCTTCATAGTAAACAAGATAAAACATACGTTAAATGCAAGTAGGGTATGTCTTTGTTAAAACTATTTAAAGGTGTTATGTGTGTCATTAAAGTTCATATTAACATATATTCATTGGTTATTCCTGATTTTTTTTTTTTACCATCCTCTAACTCGACTACAGTTACCCAACTTTTGGAAAATATTTTTTGCTTAATAATATTTATGTTAATCTTAATTAAGTTGAGGTTTGTTATAATTGACGGTCGGAAAAAAATTCATCCAAGAACAAGTAATAAAGGTTTCATTTTTTATTTATACAACAATTAGTATTTAAGAGTTTTGAACGGGCCTGAAAAGGTATCTAATTTGTTTTTTCATAAAAAAAAAATTTACTTGGCCCACTTTGCTAGGAGCACCTTTTGGTGCATATAAGCACCAAATTTATGATACAATATAACTAGCTTAGTATAATAACTAATCTCTAATTCTGCACAAAAAAATTCCGAACTTAACTTCGGACAATGCAAAGGCAAATATGTATCCAATATTTATCGATGTAATATCACCAAAATAAATTTGGTTGAAATCGGTGACCCACAGACAGTTTCCTCTTTTTGTTAGAGTAGTCAAAGGCTTAAAAGTACCCTTTAAATAGGTTTAACAAACATATACCCTAATTGCTTTTAAAGTAAATTTTATCCAGTGTATCAAGAAGGATTTTTTAGTTGCCTCAACTCAACATTTTTTTGGCGATGGTCTCCAATTCAACAAAAAATTGACATAATATTATGGGGATGGTTGACCGTCATTATAATATGACGAAGAGTTGGTCGGGGCTGTGGTAAAATTAATTACTATATATTATAATAGTATTTTATTGGTTACACCGACGTTTCGACGCACTTTTTTGGTCTTCATCAGAAATACAAAATATTAATTGGTACAAAGTAGAAAATAAAATAAATGAATTATTAGTAGATATTAAACAAATGCCAGTTGTCTGATAAAGAATAAAAGAATAATAAGATAAAATAAGGACAAGATGTCAGTTGTTGACAAATTTATTTGTTATTTTACCATTACTATTACCATTTTATTATCTACTAATATCTTATTATCATTTTATCACAATTTGTTTACACTTTAACTTATAGGCTAAATAAACCTTTATTTTTATCTTTCACTGATGTCATCTCATAAGTTCTTTAATTTCTGTATCAGACCACATGCATTTGTTTAAAATTAAAAATCGATTGTTTATGTAAACTATTTTATAGCTGCTGAGGTCTCTTATTATACCTTTAAATATTTGCCTTTTCTTGTGAGTATATCTTCTCTAATATAAATCTTTTTGATTTTAATCAGTTGAATTTAGTTCTTTGAATACACAAACACAAAATTAATTTACTACAAAGTAAAAAATAATTATGTACTACTTAAAATAGAAGAGAATAAAAAAAAGAAAATATATAATGTAGTATCTCAAATTTAAATTAAAAAAAAATATCACAAAAATTAAAAAACAAAGTATTATTTGAACTTCTTTTTTAGAGTGTACGATCCACTGCAAACCCTGCAGCCAATGATAAAACTAAGAAGTTGCTTTCGGTTCTGAGCGGCTTGGGTGACAGAGACCGGATGCTATCTGGAGCCTTCGGCGGCTACAACCTCTTCGTACATGAGATCGGCTTCTCCATGGAACAGGCAAACGGGATCCAGAAATTGACAAACAAATTACCCACCATCTATGGAATGGACTGTTCCCCTGGTTGGGAGACCACTGAAGACGGCCATGAAACCGACCTCATCGATTGCTTTCACCCAAATATTGTAGATTACGCCAAGAAGGGCGGCATCATTACCATCAGCCACCACTTCCCGAACCCAGTGTATGCGGGCAACAAAGTTGATGGAAAAGGAACACTTACCAACACTCAATACGCAACCATTCTCCAGGACGGAACTTCAGCAAGAAACAGGTGGCTGAAAATGATGGAAAAGATTGCAACAGGTCTTAAAGCATACAAGGATCAAGGAATCACCATCCTGTATCGTCCCTTCCACGAGATGAACGGAGACTGGTTCTGGTGGTCAGCTATACCTAACGATCAAAGTCAAAACGGAGAGAGGCAGCGCCTCTTCAAGCTCCTGTGGCAGGATCTCTTCAACTTCATGAAAAATAAGGGCTTGGACAACCTCCTTTGGGTCTACTCTCCCGATCAAAGCAGAGACTCCAAAACCGCTTACTATCCTGGCAATAATTATGTTGACATCGTTGGTTTGGACTGGTACACAGTAGACCCAAACAGTTATGTTAACGGCTACGATGAGCTTCTTAGCCTTGGAAAGCCTTTTGCCTTCGCCGAAGTGGGACCATATGGTGAGAGTCAGGGACACTTTGATTTCGGACTTTTCATCAAAAATATTGTATCTCGATACCCGAAGGCTGTATTCTTCATGCCATGGAACGGCATCACTAGTCCCATCAAGAACAACAACATTTGGGAAGTTTACAATAACCCTAAGGTGATCAACTTGGGAGAACTGTGAGTGCATCAAAGCGACTTATTGTTGTCTCCTTTATATTGTTTCACATTTCAATAAAGTAATTGCATATAAAGTTCACTTTAACCATGTTCAATAATGCATTGTATAATCTAAGTTCTGTGTAATAAAATAATTATTCCTGTTTTTTCTTCACAAAATGTCATTTCTTTTTGGTTATAAAATTCATCAATCATAATTAATTAGATTTTTTTTTTACGAAGTAGACCACTTTCTTATTGGCATTCACTAAGTGTGGGTGTGAGTATTTGTCTAAACTTATTAGCTAAATAAATTCCTTAGAGACTATTTAGTCAATCAATGTAGTAAACATAATTTTTAATATAAATCTCTTTATATTCTCTATATAAATCTCTTTATCCAACTCTTAAGAGTGATGGATTTTTGAAAAATGAAGAATCAATAAAAAGGGAATTTCATGTAGTATGGGTAAATCGTAATTTTAATTTTCGAAATTTTGCTAGAACTTATAATGAATTATAAAATAACAATGAACATTAAAATAAGAAGGTTTCACATGATGCGATATAGTGGAACAAAAGTCAATACTAAGAAATTAATTTTTTTTTTTAATTTCAAAATTGTATATGTAAGGTTACTTGAGCAACTTTTAAACACTTCAACTGTTACTTATCTGTAAATCAGATGTTAATGATTATTTATTAGAAAATACCTTCTTGTATTGTTATATTGGATTAGTGGGAGAATTAACTTGTGTTGTAATAACGTGTAATTAAATTCTTTTACTTTAATTGAATAAATCACGTCTATAAAAGATCTTAGAAATTTAATTACAAGATCTCAACACATAAGAAATGACTCTTCTATCCGTTCAAATTGTGAAGAGAAGTGAGGAAGACTTTGTGGTTCATTGTGTTTCAGTCGACAAAAGAAATTGGTTTTTATTACCAGAAGACACCCAGGACTTGAAATTTCATACGTCTCTATCAAGTAAGAAACCTTTATTAAATGCTGTGTATGCTATAAAAAATGTTATTGGTTATAGAACAATAGGGGTTAAGATTGATGATGACATCAAAAAGGAATATTCTGATGAATCATCTGATATTTGTTTTAGAGAGTTACCATTGGAGGAATGTCTTCCAAAAACAATTCCTTGCAGACCTACAGACACTCAATCAGAATTAGAGGATCATATTGAACGATTAGAGATGCAATTAAAAATTAATTCGGAACAAAATGAAATTAAACTGCATCATATTGAAAAAAAATTTACTTTAGAACCATTTGATAAAAAGCAATCAGATCCTATAGAGTGGCTACGTAGGTTCGAAGAAGGATGTTGTCGAAGAAAAACTATCAAATCCAAAATCTATTGTAAATCCCGCTTTAAATTATTTTAAAAAAGGCGAACCACAGCATAAGAGTAATTATCAGCCTAAGCCATGTTCTCACTGCGAAACCCCCGGTTTTCACAATCGTTATAATTTAATGTCTGAATGTCGTAACAAAAATAAAACTCCAAACCAACCAAAAATAAATCAAACTGATCTCGATTTAAGCGAAATCGATCTTGATTCAGAACATTTAAACTAGAAAGCCGGGCGAAGTTAGATCCGCTGATTAAACAAAATGTTGTTATAAATGACAGTATTAAAAATAAGGCTATTTATGATAGTGGCTCAAATGTAACATTAATAAATCAACAAATTGCTGATTTGCTGAAGTTGAAGTTAATTAAACAAAGAGCAGCGTTAAGAACTATCGGCGGACTTAATTTCACCTCAGCCCGGGCTAAAATTAGACTCCGTATTGGAAACATTACTGATTACATTACAACATATGTAGTCAAGAATAATACTTTCTCCTATGATTTATTGCTAGGTATAGATGCCATCAAGAAATTTAAATTACTACAAGATGAGAATCTAAGAATTTTGCATCGTACCAATGACACAATAATCACAACATCAGAAGATCTCTCTTCTGATAGAATAGATAGAAATATAAATTTAACACGGTCAAAACTTGATCAGATTAAGACATACGGTCCTCTTCAAAACCAGAATACAACTACTTGTAAGAACTTAAGAAGTGTACAACATATTGAACAAGAGGAGGACAAAAAACAGATTTCATATTTACTAAAAAAATACCAACATATTTTTGCTAAAGACAAGTTCGACATAGATAAAGTTCATTCACGAGAAGCAGAAATAAAACTAATCAGAGATGAGTTTGTCACTTCTCGCCCTTATAAATGTTCTATCCCGGATGATGAAGAAATACGAAGCCAAATAAAAGGACTCTTGCAAGCTGGGATCATTGAAGAATCAGACTCCCCGTTTTCTTCTCCCGTCACGCTGGCCTACAAAAAGGAAGAGAAGAGGAAATCTCGACTCTGCATAGATTTCCGAAAGCTAAACAAATTAGTAGTTTCTGAATGTTTCCTGTTTCCTACTATTGAAGATGTAATTGATAGAGTAGCTGATTGTGAATTGTTCACCGTTTTGGACCTCAATTCTGCATTTTGGTGCAGCGGTATCGGGAAAAGACCTCTTTTATTACGAAAAATGGAAAATTTATGTTTTAAGTTCTTCCGTTTGGTATTAAAAATGCTTCCGCTATATTCCAGAGAATAGTATCCAACATTATAAGAAGAAATAACCTGGACAATTTCTGCATAAACTACATTGATGATATTTTAATTTTTTCTCGGAATTGGGAAGACCATCTTCAGCATATTAGCAAGGCTTTAGAAGTTATGATCACTGAAGGTTTCAAACTGAAAATAGAAAAATGTCTGTTTGGTGCGAAATAAGTAAAGTACTTAGGACACAAGTTTTCACAAGTTTTACCTTTGTTATATAGATATATGTTTTTATTTTTTATTTTTATTTTATTTATTTTTATTGCATTGTATATATAGTATGAATGGGCCTCACTCAGCTTTAGTACTCATTGCCCTTAAATGTGGCAAAATGTATTATTTCTCAATAAAAAGATTTTAAAAAAATAAAAATAAATGAGAGGTGTGTGAAAAACATGTGATGGTTAAATATTTTGAATTATTATGTTGTACCATTTATAATTTTTACTTTCTCTATTCAATATTTTGAAATAATAACGAAAAGTCAATTTTATTGTGGAACATACAGTTCCACAATCCCAAGAATAATCATATTTAACTATGAAGTGACATTTTTCTGGCATAAGAAGACAATCAACAATTAATTAAGTTAAATAGTTATATAACCTAAAATAAAATAAAGGAACAGCACAAGTAAGCATATGAAAGTATAGATAAATATATATGAGTGTGTTCAAATATTTTTACTATTAAGAAATATAGATAATGTACAGATATCTGTAAGATAGCAGTGAAATGAGGCTGACAGCTCTATAATATAAAAATATTATATGTACACATATTTAGAAAATAGCTGAGGAGATGGAAAAATAAATGGTGAAATAGGATTTGATTTGTTTTGTTAAGTTGGAGTGGACCACGGGTTTGAACTGTAGGAGACTGTAGATGTAGGAATGGTGTCGGTTGTTGATCGGTTGGAATAGGAAAGATCGAAGGACATATTGTCGGCGGAAAGAAGGGAAGAGCCACTTTAACTCGTCGTAAAGGTGGGACACATGAGACCGCCTCGAAGTACAGAAGGCAAATCTTAAGCATGAGTACATACCGCATACCACTGGATATGAGAAGGCTAAAAAGGCAATAGATCAGAAATCTTCTTCCTTAAAACAACCAAAGTAATTTAATCATGACAGGGAGAAATAATGGATTGCCATCATAAAAAATAATAAACCAAAATAAAAAAAAATATTATGGACTATATCTTTTTTGGTATGATTTCAATGATTATTTTTTTCGTTTTCGTAAATAATTTAGAAATATTTCAAATTATAGAAGGATCAATCTTCAAAATAATTTATCCTGTTTCGATCTCCCACTTACTCACCGAATTACTTATTGTACCAAATTTTAAAGTACACTGAAATGCTCGTTGAATTTATTTATTTTACAAAAACTGAGAGTACAATTTGCTAATCCTCGTGAAATTTTGAACCCAACAGTACCTCATTCATGGAATTTCAGCATGAGTGGATATTTTATTTGGTATACTGATTTTGAGACTTGAGTATATGTGATGTGATAAAGCGTGTAATAAAGATGCTAAAAGTGTGTGCACTTTTATTTAGTGTTACGAATAATAAGGAAACCATTAATCTCCAGGAATATTGCAATTGATAATTAAAAGAGTATAAAAAATTTCTTCTGAGATCATTTTAAACAGAATAAACAAAAAAGTAGTAATTTTTTTTTTTTTTAATTTTCATTTGCAAGAAATATAGAAATATTTCAAATTATTGTAAGTAAAATCAACAAAAAAAATTATACTTTTAGAGTTATAGACTAATCATTTTTTCATTTCTAAATAACTTTTTCCCTTGTTTTTCTAGGAAGAATTGCTCATCTATTATCAATGAAGGAAAACTAGTGTTCAAGAAGGCTCAAACATTAGCATTAATCAAACGTTATAGAAACTTTGCCTTAAAGGCAAACAAAATTAACAAGAAACAATATGCCGTCGGCTTTTTACAAAATGTCACTAAGCGACATTTCATAACCTTAAATCACTAACAATTTTGATGATGTTTTGGTTTAGAATATCAGAAAATCGTTACTTGTAATTATGTTTGATATATAAAATAGTTGGTCACATTTTTGTATACTTAGTGTCTTTTCTATCAGTAAATAATTTCCAAACAAAACAAAATCTTAAAAAACCAGTCCATCAAATTTGTGTTTTTTTATCAATAAATAAATTCATAATTTACAACAAATTTTTAAAATTTCAGCTCGATTAAAAATTTACTTCGTGGCTTTATTCGATAAACAGGTATTATATCGGTAGCTATAGCGATACTGCGCTAACTTCTAAAAAAACTCGATTACTCTTAATTATTTTTTCAAAAAATCAAAAAACTATAAACCTCCAGTGGTATTTCAGTTGTGGATTAGAAGGAAATTTACATTTAAACATCATTAATTACATTTAAAGTTCATTTATAAGAAATACATATTACCTCCTCCTACCTCATTTTTAAGAACTTAATCGACTAATCCCTTAACAACACTGAAATTAATGTTGGCCTGATTGGCTTAAAGCTATTACACTTCCAAAAGTGAAATCTCTGAAGAAAAGGTAATATTTTGAAATGGAATTACTTATATTCCACAATAAGTATGCAGCATACTGCAACAATTAAAAATATTTTAAAATACATATTATACGAGTCCATTTCTTCAGTATTTATTTTATTATATAAAACAGTTTAAGATACACAACAGTACAAGATAAAACACATTTATACACTAAACTGTTTTTTTTCAATTTTTAATTAACATTTTTTAATTAAATTAAAATAGCTGATTAAATACATTCCTAGATTTGTATAAGTATAAATGACAGATCCCAATAGGGAATACAACAAAATAATATATTAACAAAAGATAAGTAAGGGAATGAATGAATATTTTTTTTTCTAAGATGTTTAATCCTTTATTCTCTGTGTCATTTTAATATATGAATGAATATTAAAACTTTAACGCACTTTCAGCTCCCCCAAGTTGACCACCTTAGGGTTATTGTAAACACCCCAAATGTTTCTGTTCTGGATTGGACTGGTTATACCATTCCATGGCATGAAGAATACAGCCTTCGGGTATCGAGATACTATATTCCTGATGAATAAATCGAAGTCGAAGTTTCCTTGACTCTTTCCGTATGGCCCGACTTCGGCAAAGGCGAAAGGCTTTCCAAGTCCAAGGAGTTCATCGTAGCCGTTAACATAGCTGTTCGGGTCTTCCGTGTACCAGTCCAAACCAACGATGTCCACATAACTATTGCCAGGATAGTAAGCGGTTTTGGAGCCTCTGCTTTGATCGGGAGAGTAGACCCAAAGGAGGTTGTCCAGGCCCTTATTTTTCATGAAGTTGAAGAGATCCTGCCACAGGAGCTTGAAGAGACGCTGCCTCTCTCCGTTCTGACTTTCGTCGGGCAGAGCTGACCACCAGAACCAGTCTCCGTTCATCTCGTGGAAGGGACGATACAGGATGGTGATCCCTTGATCCTTGTACGCTTGGAGACCTCTAGCAATCTTTTCCATCATGTTCCACCACCTATCTCTTGCAGGAGTTCCAGTCTGGAGAATAGAGGCGTACTGAGAGTTGGTAAGTGTCCCTTTTCCGACAACCTTGTTTCCTGCAAACACGGGGTTAGGAAAGTGGTGGCTGATGGTAATGATACCGCCCTTTTTGGCGTAATCTACTATCTGTGGGTGAAAGCAATCGATGATGTCGGTTTCGTGGCCTTCAGCAGTGGTCTCCCAACCCGGGGAGCAGTCCATTCCATAGATGGCAGGTAGCTTCCCTGTCAATTTCTGGATCCCGTAAGCTTGTTCCATGGAGAAACCGACCTCATGAACGAAGAGGTTGTAGCCTCCGAAGGCACCAGTGAGCATCCGGTCTCCAAGTTTGCTCAGAGCTGCCAATAGCTTCTTCGTATTGGCGTTAGCTCTAGGATTAGCAGCGGACTGTACGCTCTAAAAATGAGAGTGTGCTTAATAAATATTACTGATTGCATTTTTATGATAATTCTAATGATGTTTTATAATTTTAATTTGCTAAATCACACAATTTAATTATTCTTCCAGTTTAAACAGGGATAGCTATAAATATATTGTTTCTTGCAATATGTAAACTGGTTATGAATATAATAAACTAACATTAATTATACAAAACTTACCACAGCCGCATGGCAAAGCAGAGCACCGAAAAAGATATACTTCAACTCCATTTTTTGTAGTCTTTCCTGTAAAAGTAATGCTTATTTAATGGCTGCGTTATAATTCAATTAGCGGTTAAAATTATAATTGTCATCTCCCTATGATGCAATATCTCACCAAAAATCAAGTTATTGGAAGTGTTTAAAATCTGGTATAGAAAGCTACATGCACTTTACTTATCGTTTATAAAAAAATAATATAAATAAACACTAAATAATAAAAAAACACAAAGTCCATATGCATAAATGGTTAATGTATTACTCACCTTAGGGGAGCTTGTGAAGACTGACCAAAGAATCATACATCGTGCCTTTTATAGCAATTATACAGTTATCCGAACCGGGAGAATAATATCGTACTCCACCTGTGTATACAACATTAATATTTATGATATGAAGGTTAAAATCAATCAATTGGGATTGATTGATTGTTAAATAACATTGAATATTAATAGTCTCAAGAAAACCTAATTTTGATTGCTTGTTTTGAAAAGGAGACTCTTGAAGCGAATCGATTTGATCCGTATTGATGTAGTAGTCCGTGATCCGGACCTCTTTTTATCAAATTATTAATTTCTCTCTGACCTTCGTACATAGCTTCATCTCATCGTAACTTACAAGTATTTTTTTTTTTTTTATGAAAGTTATTCGTTATCCAATCGAGCGTTTTCCATCCGACGATCATCAAATATTGTCTATTTATTTATGTACTAAAAACTTATCAGTAACCGTTTGCTTTTCATTTGAATCGTTAGATAATATCATCACAAAGAAGAAAAAAATGTGTCTTACAAAAACATTTTAATTTATTAGATATACATATTTCTGGCTCACAATAAATTTGCCATCTAGATTGGTATTCAGCAAATATGATATCAAGAACGAGAAATGATAGCATAAGAGAAAAAAATAATAGTAATAACAAACTAGAAAGACAAAAAAAAAAAAAAAAAAAAAAAAAAAAAAAAAAAAAAAAAAAAAAAAAAAAAAGAGCATAACACATAATAACACATACATATTAACAGAATAAAACACACAAAAAGAAAAGATAATGCAGCAAGTAGCTCAATGTAATAAGTCTCTTGGGCAGCGCCTCAGCAGTCTTCTGGGCGGATTATATGGATTTGTGGCAGTAGATAAAGCATGAGTAAGTGGATTGGAATTTAGAGTCAGTCTGTCGTGAAAATTATTAAAGCGGTCATTGGCAGTTGCCGTGATGAAAGGAGTGTTAAGGTCAGTGTGTAACGTGAGGTTTGAAACATAAAAGGGTGCGTCCACAATTTTCCGAAGGACTTTTGACTGGAATGACTGAATGATTTTTATATTTGATTTCTTTGCTGTTCACGTTAGTTCGATTCCATATGTCCAAAGTTGTTTAATGAGGACTTTGTAAATAGTTAGTTTATTAGTCACAGATAATTCAGAACGTCTGTCAAGTAGCCTAGAAAGAAGTCCGTATCGCTGATTAAGTTCTTTTCTTTTTTGTTTTATGTGGTATGTCCATGTCAGTCGTTTGTCCAAGTGGAGGCCCAAATATCGTACAGTTTTTGAAGGTGGTAGAGCGATATTATTAAAGAACACTGGAGGACATGAGTCATGTTTAAGTGTAAATGAAACAAATTGGCTCTTAGACTCGTTCATTTTTATTCTCCACCTTTTAGCCCAACAAGCTATGTCGTCTAGGTGTTCTTGAAGTATCTGAGTAGCCTTAGCTGCATCCTTGTTAGATGTTAATATTGTCGAGTCATCAGCAAATGTAGCCAACAGTGTTTCAGAATGTTGTGGGATGTCTGAACAGTAAATATTGAAGTGTTGGACCCAAGACACTGCCTTGAGGTACTCCAGCTTTTATTTTTTTGATGGCAGAAAACTGAGTCCCCATTTTCACACGGAAAAATCTATCTTTTAGGTATGATTGTAAAATTAAGTAATACATCGGAGGAATGAACGTTTTTAATTTATGTAACAAACCATCGTGCCATATTCTATCAAAAGCCTGACTCATGTCAAGAAAAATGTCAGGACAGTACAATTTTGATTCTAGCGAGAAAGATATGTAATCTACAAGGCGGTAACATTGCTGAATTGTCGAATGATGCTGTTTGAAACCGTACTGGAAATTTGGAATGACATCAAATAGTTTAAGTAAATTTAAACGCCGAAACAGAATTTTTTGGAATACTTTAGATAGAGAAGGTAAAAGACTAATTGGGCGGTAAGAATCTGGACGGTCTATAGGTTTATTGGTTTTGTGAATCATAGTTATGATTGAGTATTTCCATAAAATCGGAAAATGTGTCGTTCTAAGAATGGAATTGAATATGTTTGTTAAGAATATAATGGCCTTTTTTAGTAAATTCTTTAGGATATAGTTCGTAATGAGATCGAACTCTGGAGATTTACGATTTACAAAAACATAAGTCCGTTTGGCGTGACCTCCGAAAAAGCTAAAGTAACGAGGTTACAAAGACCAAACCGACCAATATTTTCGTAGGCTACTTTTTTTCGTATTTCTGATCATATTATTATTCGATTCAAGTGAAAAGAATATAGGTATTCATGAGTTTTTAGTACTTATTTAAATATCTTCAGAACGAATACGCCCCAATTCCGAGAATTTTCGTAAATAAAATATTCGTAGGTTACGATCATATGAAGCTATTTATGAAGTTTCAAGCGAATGTTAATACTTTGATAAAACGGGGTCCATACCGAGAACTATTGAATATGCCATAGAGTCAATATTACCAATATATTAACCTTACAGAGTTAAAACTGCATTGACTAACGTGGGACCCTCATACTAGACTTAAAAGACAGGAACTAAACCGACGATACGGCCAACTATACCGACTACTATACAGGAAATCTAAATTTTCCATTGAAAACAAGTTACTGATCTACAAGACAATACTGAAACCTATCTGTACTTACAGACTTGAACAGTGGGGAACAGCAAAATTATCTAACATCAAACGCATCCAATCCTTCCAATCCAAAGTCCTTCGAACAATAGTCGATGTTCCTTTCTATGTAACTAACAAAACCCTACACAATGACCTTAATATCCCATTTGTCCCTAGATCTTATCCCAGCATAATTCTCCAAATTCCACCAGAACCTTACTCATCATCCAAATTCCTTTGCACAATATCTAACCACCCATCCATATAATCCTCCAACGAGGTTAAAACCGCAGTGGCACCGCGACTTTTTATAGTTTGTAAATATTTAAGTTCTGGCAATGCCCAGATTCCCTACTCACGACATAAGTGTATGTGACTTAAGCACCCTTGCTCAATCTCCACTGGGTTTAGCCCCAGTGACGCGGCTGAGAGAGAAGTGCAGGGATCTCCTGGAGTCATGCTTTTCCCTCCATGGTTGGAGGGACAAGCCTGGTATGGAGTTCTCTCGCCATATTGTAAATATTGTCATAGGTATGTATGTGTTCTTTTTATTCATTTATTTTTTTTTTTTTAGGTCATTTTATTCTTATTTATTGTATATATATTATTTTTCTTTATAATTTATTTTATTTATTGTACATACAGTGTGAATGTGATCTGTGAAAACTATTATAAATGTCCTTGAGACAGATTTTAATATTTTTCAATAAATGATCTAAAAAAAAATGCATTAATTTCTTATCAATATCGTATTATGTATTAAACCATATTATACTTGAATAATCCAACTAACTAAATAAATGTGAAGTGAGAAATAAATTTTGTCTTTATATTGATTGAAAAGTATAACATCAGTAATAATATTGAAATAGGAAAAAACTTTCCTAGGAGTTTTGAGACTATTAATAGACAATGTTATCTAATAAACAATTCATCCCAATTGATTGCTTGTTAACCTCCATATCATAAATAATAATGAAGTATGCCCTGGTGGGGAAGAATATTTTTCTCATGGGCGGACAACTGCATAACTGCTATAAAAGGCACTATGTGTGATTCATTGGTCAGTCTTCACTTGCTCCCCTAAGGTGAGTGATCCATTAACTATCCATGCATTTGGTAATAAAAATTTTCGAGTTTTCTATCCTTTATTCGTTGTGTCTTATTTTTATAAACAATAAGTAATGTGCATGTATCTTGTGAAACCAGAATTGTAAACACTTCAAATCTCCTGATTTGGGGTGGATTATCATCGGGAAATGTTATTATAATTTTAACTGAAAAAACAGCCATTGGCAAATAAATTTGTTTTATTTTTACAGAAGAGTATAAGGAATATGGAGTTGAAGTACATCTTATTTGGCGCTTTACTCTGTCATGTGGCTGTGGTAAGTTTTATTTAATTACAATATTGTCGATAAAAAAAAAAAATAAAAACGAGTTTAAATTAAATACAAAATAAAAATAATTATTCTTTTCAATCTATCAAGGATTTTTAGGTAGATATGGAAGTACATTCCTTTAGGATGCAAATGATTTTGTGATATCTGTAGGCAGGTTGTTTTGTTTTTTTTAAATTATTTAATTTTTTATTGAATTTAATTGTTTTAACATTTTATTTGTGAAAGTATCGACAGTTAGTTTTCATAAAATATGATCACGTGATATCATTTCAAACCAAATAAAAAGCGATACACTTAAACTATAATAATTTTTTTTTGGGGGGTTTTATAAGTTCAAATTGTTTCCAAACAATCACAGGATATCACTGAATAAAATAAAAAACCGGTAAAGATATTTACTCTAAAAATCTAATTAAACTAACTAAAAACTAATTAAACTCCTTTTATGC